AATAATACATTTGTAATCATCATCATCATCATCATCATCATCATCATCATCATCATCATCATCATCATCATCATCATCATCATCATCATCATCATCATTTTAATGAAATTAATAATAATAATAACAATAATTTATGCCATTAGTGGCATAGGGTGGTGCTGGGATATGGGAGGCAAAACCCATCTGCAAGTGTAAGATACACTACTCCCAGTCAAGGTACTATCTATCTTTGTTTTCTTTAGCAGTTTGACATGCGGAAGTCTATACAAATAATATGGCAGAACCAAAACATAATATTATGTAGGAGTGCAAGTGAGCTTGAATGTACAGCTGTAAACCCTTGCTAAAGCGCAGTGTAAAAGAAAAAAAACTTTTCAGTCAGAATTAAATACATTGTATTGCAGAATTGAATTTTAAATGTTAAAGTAATGCCGTTATTTGCTAATCTGTTTATAAGATTCCCTTTCGTTTTTCTTTGCTTTAAACTTATCAAGAATCAGTTTTTTAAACGCAGTCGAGTTGCGCACTTCCTTTACCGTGAACAGAGAACATAGTCAAGTCCAAGGCATTATCCTGTCTTGGCTTTCTGTGAGTAAGTGTGTACATCTTTGTGATAACCAACCAATGCTAGAACTAGAGGCCAACTTTCCCCCTTTTTCCACTTGGTTATCCTTTCCCTCTACAAGGCAAAAATCAAACAGATAAAAATATATGCTCTTTCTGTGTGATCGTTTAATTTTGTTTGTTTCACTGGATTTCCCTCCTGTTATAATAACTGATGCGTTTTATGCATACAAAACATTGGTAGCTGTAATTTTCTCGATAATTCTGCCTTCGGTACCAGTCGACCCCCATCTCCTTTCATCGCACATATCTCGAATTCTATTCAATATTAAAGGGTACTTTTTCATCAAATGCAAGATAAATAAACAAGGTTTATGAAGTTACCAATAACTCCATATCATGCCTTCAATTGACCAGCGCCTGATTCCGCCGCTTTGAGACATATTCTAGTACATGTACACGTATCAAAGCGTCACTCTCTTCACCTTGCACATCGAAACAACAAACAAACGAACAGCGCTGCGTCCACACAACAAAATTAGTGTCAGACAGGTCAACGATAAGGGTCGTCATGTAGTGCTGTCATACCAGTAATATGTCTGCCGTCCGTAATGTAAAACAGATTCAGCATGGATGCCAAGACAAAAGTCTTAGTTTACTTGCTTAGGGAATTCCACCATCTGTTTTCACAAGTACTCAGGAGTGTGCAAAAATTGCGTACCTTACATTATCATGCATGGGGCCACTAACTCCCACAGTTTATTTGATTTAATATCCCACTATATTCACTGTAAAATCGATTAATGACCAAATTAACATTTTAAAACTATTTTGTTTACATCATTGTTCATCAGCAATTGAAGGTAGGCATGCTATCATTTATTGACTGTCTCTATTGAGCAACGAACCTTCGTAGCCATCTGTTTCCATAGGACAAAACAATCTTGGGGTCACCGAATGTTTACCATGAACTTAAAAGTGCTGTCGTACGCATTTGTGACTCAACATAATAATAAAATAATATGTTAGTAGTTCTTTCTACCTTAGATTAACAGTAGGGGAATTTAGTGTAGTTTTTATTTTGATTATTTCTATGTCATGAAATTCTCCTGGTTTACGTGTGATAGTAAAATAGGACTGCAAGATTGCCTTACTTTGTTTTTGTTTTAGTAAGAGTTTTGCGGCACTTACATCACAATAAGGTCACAAAAGTGTCAAAGATTAGGGGTGTTACAAGTGAGTAACAAACACAAAAAGAAGGAGGGGAGATAGAGACGATAGATTTTTTATAGGAAAGAAGGAGCAAGCTACACCAGAGCACCCGCCAACAATCCACTTGCCTTAGTTTACACTTGATAGTAAATTTGGCTTGAAGAATGAAGGACGTTGCCAAGGGCACAGAACTTTGAAAATGTGCAAGCTTGTACAAAACATTTTAGCAAGCAAGTTACATAATATAGTAATTCAAAAATATCTTGTCAGTCTTGACCTTTTGCAGTTCCCACAAAGTTCAGCGTTGAAAAAAGTAAAATGGCATGGTAATTCTAAAAAATCTCTGGGCAAAATTTTGAGCTTCAATTCTAATCATTTTGCTAATTTTAATTCCTCAAAATGGCCATCAAAGTCAGATAGAACTTTGTAATTCTAAGATAGGAAAAATAAAACACAATATTTTTATATGCATATGAAACCTATACGTGGACAATATATTGATGCAATAAGATTGCTTTTCAATCGTTTATATGATGAACCACAAATGTCAACTAAAACGTGTGATCCTGTCTCTTTTTTTGACTTGGGGGGGGGGGGGCTTTTGTTACATTACGGACATGCCAAAGGAGAGGAAAAACTCTGTTTACAGAATATGCTTCATTAATTTGAAGTTTACACCCCTTGCAAAAGGACGTTCCTCATAAAAATGAACAGCTCGTAAGGACGAGGACCGGGGAAAAACACACATTCTTTAATTTTGTTGTTGTTGGCAAAACTGTCCTTTTTCCTGTACACAGCAATAAGGGGGGGTTCATGGGCATAGGATTTGAAGGCGGCAGGATCTCACATTTATTGTTCTGATGCGTGCAGAAGGAATGAATTCTTGCGACAAGCTTATAATGGACACGTGTGACAGGGAGGTGGAGGAAGAAGAATGTAAGAAAGGAATGGTAAAAATTATCATGGTGGGGGACTTCCTTCTGGAAAGAAAAAGATTGGCTAGCACAACTGGAGATAAAATGAGACCTAAAGGCGGGGGTAAAAAAGGCTGAGAACATCTAGCAGAAACAAAAAGATGATCTTGTCAGAATAGTAGATATCATTGTGACGAATTCAGTGATGAATAAAGAGACAGATGTTTACAAAGCATGGAGACTCACATGGGTACAGAAGAGGACATTTGAAATTCATTGGAAAAAGATGATGTGAGCGGGGGACGTGCTTTCTCCGTCTGAAACAAGACACCAAAGGTTTAGAAAATAAAGCGCATTCTAGTATTTTCAACACCGTAGTTAGCAGTTTACTAGAGAAGAGTTTAGTAACATTTTTTTTGTCAACCAGCGGAATTTGGAACCTGATGTGTTAGGAACTGGGTGATGAACGAGAAGTCAAACATGAATGCACGTGTGGTCGATGTACCCTGTGTTGAGGGATTCTTCATCCAACAAGTTAATACGACTATCATCACATTACTGTATGGCTCAACTATTTTAGGAAAATTCATTACCCTTTGTAGCATATTTTATATACCATAACAACGACTCCGTATAACAAGATGGTTCACTCCTCTCTTTGAGCCAATTAAAAAAGTGTCCTCAAAATCTGGTAGCGCCATC